CAAACACCTGACGCACTGCACTGTGCAGCAGCGCACGACCGATGATGGGGACCACCTATTTAAAAAGTCGGCGACCTGGGAGAACAGAATCAACCCGCGTCTGTTTTGAGAGACTCACAAGAGGGAGAATAAAAAGATTCAAAGAATGTGAAAGACATTATTACTAGTAAAAAATTTGATTTATGAAAACTGTATGTCGTTTCGACCCACAGCTATCTTCTCCTCCTCCCCCCATTTTCCCCCCATTTCGTGCTCGTATCCATTAGCGCGGGCTGGGCGAGGCGCGCGCCGGTACACATGTCGCCAGATGCACCGCCACCACCGCGACTCGGGGGCAGACCCGCAGGGGACCGCAGGGCCGGGCGCCTGTTTGTTCGCCTAATGCTGCGCCCAGCTACGCCCCGCCACGCCACGCCACGCCACGCCACGCCACGCCACGCCCCGCCACGCCACGCCACGCCACGCCGCAGGGCCTAGAGCCTTCGGGCCGCCGCGCGCGCATCTGCCAACACCAACCGTGTGACATTGATTGCCTCCACCCTCCGCCACCACCACCCCACCCCACCCCCGCTCCCATGCCTCCCCGCCGCCAAAGGCCCACGCCGGGGGCGGCAGAAAGTTTCCGAAGAAACACACGTGATAACATAAGTGTGTGTGTGTGTGTGTGCGTGTGTGGCATTTCCGCTCGCCCCCTCCTCAAAACCACGTGCACGAGGGAGCCTTAAGGGGCGCCAGAGGGGCGTAACGACCTAGCGGCCGTGACCTTGCGCGGACAGACGGACAGGAGAAACACGAGCGGTCAACAGAGCAGCTCGGCGGCCCGGAACCTGCGAGTGACAATAAAGGACCAATAGGAGCGCTTCCGCGAGGGGTCCTTCACTAGAAATTCTGGCGTACATCAATTTTTCTGTTTTTCTTGATTTTTCTTGATTTTTCTTGATTATTTTCTGACTTTTCTTTGATTTTTTTTTATTTTTTCATGATTTTTTTGGTAATTTTTCATGATGTTTTCGTGATCTTTTCTAAGGGTGTGCACTGATTTTTTTGAGTTAAGGACCCCTCGCGCTTCCGGACACCTATCTCTATTGCAACTTATTAACCCGGTGAACTCGCCTTGTTCGCGTCAACAACAATGGCGGTCGGCGCGCGCTGCTCGGAGACGGTGACGGTGCTGCGCGCCCCGCTCGCCTCGCCGAACTCTCCACCGCTAGCTCCTCTGTCACCTCCTGTCCCCCCATGAACCCCAACCCCGGCCTGGCGGAGCCCAGCAGGGCGCAGCAGGCGGCCGAGCCGCAGCCCGGGCCCAGCGGCCTGCAGCAGCAGCGCGGCAGGAGCAGCAAGGCGATCAGGGCGAGCAGGGCGGCGGGGGACAGCACGAGTGACAGCGCGCTGAGCGACAGCGACGCGGACAGCGAGGCGGACAGCGAGGCGGACAGCGAGGCGGACAGCGCCGTCAGTCACCCACCGAGACGTTGTTGTGTCACTTCCCCAATCGTTATAACGTGCGTGTCAGATTTCTGAGCTGGCCGTCGTGCGCGTCTCTCGCCCGCCAGCTCGACGGCGACACCAGCGGGCGCAGCAGCAGCCGCAGCAGCCGGAGCGCCAGCCCGGCGCCCATGTCGTCGGGGTCCAGCCCCGACAGCGACCTGGACGCGGAGGTCAGCCCCGAGCAGCAGCCTCTTGAGCGTGGCGGGCAGCACTCGGCAACATTGTGCGCGGTCCTTGAGGAGCACTTTGATCGGACAGAGAGAACGTTGTGTGCGCGCGCGTGCGTGCGATAGGGAAAGAGAGAGAGTTAGAGAGTGAATGTGCGAGCGAGAAGGAAAGAGAGCGAGCGACATGGCAGAACACTCATAAACCGTATTTCGGTGGCTTTACGATGTCACCCGCGCAGCATAGCAGGGGGGCTCATCACCCCTTCGCCACGCCACGCCACGCCACACCAAGCCATGCCACGCCGCACCAGAGAGATGTTTTGTTTTGGCTGGCACAGGTCCACGCCGAAACCAAGCCCAGCATGTGTGTTCGTAGGGTGTGGCCTAGCGCGGCGTGGCCCGGCGTGGCTGTGGTCCTGTGCCGCGCGGCTCGGCTCAGATCGGTGTATCAGTTGGTTCGGGCGGCGCGCTCGACTCGACGTTGTCTCAAAGTAGATCGCGCAGCCGCCCGTGACGTTCTGTTATGAAATTCACCTGCTCGGAATAATCATTTGCGTGATATTTGTATGTAACTGTGTGTGTGTGTGTGTTTGTGCAGATGGTGAACAAGGCGGTGATGCGGCTGCGACGGCGCGTGCTCGCCTCGCCGCCGCGCCCCGTCCAGGACGTGGAGGCCCTGCTGCAGGACGCGGGCGGCGCGATGCGCGCGCGCGTTCGGGCGCTGCAGCCGCGCCGGGACGTGCCGTGCTGCAGCCTGCCAGAAGGGCCGCAGCGGCGGCGGCGGCGGAGGAGGAGGCCGAGGAGCGCCCGCGGACCCCGGCCGTCGAGGTCGCGATCACGGTCGCGACCCCAGTCCCGGTCCCTCAGCAGAAAGTCGACCGAAAGCTGAGGACGACTCACCTCCACGGGTGCTGCTTGTAGCCGGTGGGGCAGCCGTCTCTGCAGGACAGGCACGGCCTGCTGTCGTCCACTTCCCGGACCAGGATGCCCTGCAAAAATAAAACAAACACAATCGAATCACATCCGTCTGTCTCTTTCTTGGGATTGGAAAAGGGCTCTAATCGCGCAAGGTCGCCTCAGGAAGGAGGTGGTTTGTCTCGCGGGATTCGATTAGTGGGAGTGGAATTCCCCCGACAAACAGCCCGCCGAGCCGGTGGCGCCCCCACTCGGCGGGCGGCCGCAGGAGCCGGCTCGGCGATACTCCGCGCCGAGTTGCGCCCTCCCCGCACCGCCCGGCCCCCCGCCGCTCCCGGGCCGGTGTGCGATGCGATGCGTGGGCGTGGGCAGAGCGGCGCACTCCGCCCCGCCACTCCCGCTCAGTCCAGCAGGGGCTGACCGCGGACCACTTGACCCACGAGTAAACGTGGCAACGAGAAAAATAAACACATCAAAGCCTTTGAAAGACCTGATTCCTTGATTCGCGTCAGCAAAAACCCACATTATTTTGTTGTAAATGAGAGCGCTGCTCAGTCAGGATGAAGTCGATAGAGCGCGCGGCGCACATGTCCGTGCCCAGGCACGCGGGGCAGAGAGGAGCAGCGGGACCCGGATTTTGTAGCGAGGTGCGAAGACGTTCGCACGCCCCCCCCC